GTTTTTCGACTTTTCCGTTTTTGAATTTTTCGGTTTGCCAATTTTCCATCATTTTAGTTTTGGAATTTTCCATCTCTCGATTTTCCAATTTTTGAGATTATTTAAATTTTGGCTTTTCGATTTATCGGTTTTTCAGTTCTTTGATATTCGTATTTTTCAAGATAATGTCATTTTTTGAAGGTAGCAACAAATAAAAAAATCAAAAAAACTCAGATATCTCTATAGAACCCGTATTCGTCTTTAAAAGTTTCAAGTTAGCAAGTGCAGCGAATTTCAGGACTCTCTGTTATCGATAAAAAATCTGGCACCAAAATCGTCATACGTCAGAAGAGATGTTTCTAAAAAAATGTTTTTCTAGATTAAGAAGCTCATGATTTCTAAACGATTATAACATTTGGCTTCTGGTTTAGACCACTCGATTCCTTGAAGTTTTTCGATTGCTGCGGATGACATTTTAAGCCACATGAACTATTCATTCTGGTTTGAGATATTGCTAAATAGAACAATGTCATTTTTTGAAGGTAATAAAAATTTAAAAAATCAAGGAACTCAATATTTCAAAGAGAGGGTGGGTGGGCGGAGCTAGTAACTTCCAAGGTAAGACTGACTTTGGCAGATGACATATCCTCTGAGAAAAGACAGGGTGGGTGGGCGGGGCTAGCACTTGCTAAGATAAGACTGATTTTGGCAAATGACATACCCTCTAAGAAAATAGAGGGGGGGTGGGCGGGGCTAGTACTTTCTAAGGTAATACTGAATTTGGCACTTTTGACGTTTTCGAACATTTTTCAATTATTTTCGAAAATTAGTTCAAGACATTTTCTTGTAGCCCACCCATCCTCTCTCCTTTCTAGTGATTGGTTTTATACGATCTGAATGAAATGAATGATCTTATATTTAACAGAAATAAAATTAGTCATTAAAATGATAAGAAGGGAGAGGGCGGGGCTAGCACTTGCTAAGATAAGGCTGATTTTGGAAAATGACACACCCTCTAAGAAAATAGATGGTGGGTGGGCGGGGCTAGTACGTTCTAAGGTAATACTGATTGTGGCACTTTTCACGTTTTCGACCATTTTTCAATTGTTTCCGAAAATTAGTTGAAGACATTTTCTTGTAGCCTTCGATATCCAAAAGTTATTTTAGGCTTCGTTTCTTTGAAAATTCCTACCTTTTTCCAAAATGGCTAATTGAAATTTAGCAGTTTTTCAGTTCCGTCAAAATAACTCACTATAAAAATTTTGTACCTAGTTAAAAAAGAAAATCATTATTAAATTTCGTCACAAAAATTCAGTTGTTTCAAGAATGTGATTTGAGGTTTTCATATATTTTATATTTACAGAAATGCTTAAAAAAATGTATCTGAGACAATAGAGAAGTCAGTCACGTTAAGTCAAGTGCATCCAATAAGAAATAAATTTATAGCAAAAAAAAAAATACGAACTAGCGTTTTTTTTTACTTTTTTCAGATTCTAGATTCTATTATTAGTTGACACTCCCACTAGGCAGAAGAACATAGTTAGCCCCGCCCACCCACCCTGTCTCCTTTCTAGTGATTGGTTTTATACGATCTGAATGAAATGAATGATCTTAAACTGAACAGAAATAAAATTAGTTGTTAGAATCAGAAAAAAAGGAGGGGGTGGGCGGGGCTAGTACTTGCTAAGATAAGACTAATTTTGGCAAATCATATACCTTCCATGAAAACAGAGGGTGGGTGGGCGGGGCTAGTATTTGATAAGATATGGCACATTTTCGACTATTTTTCAACTGTTTCCGAAAATTAATTGCAGACATTTTCTTGTAGATTTCGATATCTAGAAGTCATTTTCGGCTTCGTTTCTTCGGAAATTCCTACCGTTTTTCCAAAATCGCTAATTGAAATTTAACAGTTTTTACAATTTCGTCAAAATATTTAGCTCGGATTAAAAAATTTACACGTAGGAAATTATTATTAACTTTTGTTTCACAAAATAAAATTATTTTATGAAACTCCTTCGTCGGGCTTTAAACATTCCGTCTTGCCATAATCTCCCTAATTATACCCTTAATTCATAAATAACTATTATTAGGTCGTAGCTCAAAAAATTCTCAAAATCAGACATTTTCTTTTCCTTGTATTTGCTAATTTTATTGAATAAGATTTACTTGAAAATATTTTGAGCTGACGTCATTTCTTTCTTACATGGGAAAAATACAAAATTTCAGTGAATTTTTTGTAATTTTTAAGTAAAAATTCTCAAAAACGTCTGTTATAATAATTTCTGATATAAACTAAAATTCAAGGTAGTTGCATTTTAATAGAAAAAGTGCCCATAACAAAAAATTACGGTTCCGCCATTTTTAACAATAGCGATTTAATCAAATGGAACATCCTGTATTTTACAACATTTTCGAACTTGTTTCTAAATAAGCTTTCTTTTGATGTCAGATTTGTTGGCCTCTGAACTACCAACAATTGCAAAATCTGATGTTAAAAACGTGCGCGTAGAGATAAACCCACATTATATCAATTTTAATCTCTGTGCGTATCATTAGCGGCAATATTAGCTGCAGTTTCGAGTAAATTAATTTTACGTCGTAATTAAAAAAATCTACAAAATCAGAGTTTCATTTTCTTGGGTTTGTTCACTTTATTGAACAAAATTTTTATTTGACAATATTTCGAGATGACGGCATTTCTCTTCTCAATAGGACAATAAAATACAAAATTTCAGATAATTACTGTGATTTACAAGTAAAAATTTTCAAAAACGTCTGTTACCATAATTTCTGATTTAAACTAAAATTTGAAGTCATAAATAAGGTTAAAGGGAAGACTAAATTATCAAATCAGGAGTAAAATTCAAGGTATTTGCATTTTAATGGAAAAATTTGCCATAGCAAAAAAAATACATAGAAATAACTTCAGTCTCAAATTATCAATAAATTAGTGGCAACGTTAGCTGCAGTTTCGGATAAATTTACATAAGGTCATACCTCAAAAAATCCTCATTAATCTTCTTATATTTGTTCATTTTGTTCAATAAGGTTTGATTCATTTTCTTCATAGACACAAAAAAAAAGAAATAGTTATCACAAAAAAATATTAACGTTGAAACAGTAGAGCAAATCAAGTCATCAGTAAAAATTTTAATTGCTGCAAACATTATTACGAATCCTATTTTTATTTCTTCCGTGGTTTCAGAGCACTCAAAGAATTTCCTTCTGTTGACTCATCCTATTTTTTAAGAGATGTGGTTGTAATGGTAAGTATATACTTTTTTTCAGCAGCTGTAAAACGTGCACTAATGAAGTTTACAAATTAATTACGCCAAGCTTAATTTTTTTGGAAATATGTACATAACAACAAACACACTAAACCGCTTCTTTAACTAAATTCAATATGTGTATTTTTTCTGTTTCACAGGTCACAGAATACGAAAATGCGAGTTTTCCGCTTCACTTCCAGTGTGTGGAAATGTTAATTCCAAAACTATTACATCGATAATTTTTAAAATTATTGCAAAAACATAAATCGCTTGTCGTGACGTGATTTCAGTTTTTAAATAACTTTCGCTTGAAAAATGCACTACAAAAATAATTTAGATCATCAATTTTATAGTTTATCTTGGAGATTACCAACATTAACTTTTTTTAACTCACCTCCAAAGAATTGATGATGTCAGTAACGTTATTTTTAGTTCTACACAGCAAACAATAAAATCTTCAAAAAATTAGTCGCTTTGCTGGTAGCAAAGGGTGCAATAAACTGGTCCCAGCAAGTCTAGTGCTTGCCCAGAATTCTACTTACTCACCGTAGGCCCACTTTACAGCGGGGATTTCCAACTACCACCTTTCCTTACCGGTCGAATCGTGATAACCATGTCACCAAAAAGTATTCACACCTTTGCATTATTTCATAATTCTTTAAGAGTTTATGTTTAATTTTACGTATCGAGAGAACTTCTTCAAAAAATCATGTAAGTGCCGCTTAAAATTGTCGAGATAAGGAATTTTGACATTAAGTTATTTGTTGTGACAAAAGATTAACTAACACTCATTTATTAGCCCCCTCCAAAATAGTGATGACGCCATAACGAAAAATTATTAAATATATACATATTTACTAAAAAAATAATTGCACAAGCATAAATCCGACACATTAAAAACTACAATTTTAAAGGTCATCCATGAAGTCTAATCTATCTAAATGATTTACAATTTTACGTCAAATACACACCTTCCTTCAGATTTTTTCGGGTTTTTCCCAAGATTCCTTAATTTATGGGACCCTTTGAGCCAAAGCATAACAGGGCTTTAGGTGGGAAATTCCAAATCCTGAACAATACCTGTGTGGCTACTCATTGTAATATTCTCGAAATCCTATAATCAGTCGTTTGTTTATGTTTAAATTTTATGGACAGCTACAATGAAAGTCGTCACCTTTCCTAGCTCCTTTGAACATAGTTTAATTCGTAGTCGGGTTCATTAAGGAACCTCATCTATTAAACCTTTCATTAATATCCTTTAAAAATAGCCCCGTTAAACTTATTTATACGTTTTCGGCAAACGCTCATTTGTAGAGAACAAATAAAATTCTGTTGGCAGTGTATTCTTGTTTTATTTTTCACGTACAAAACGTGACCAGAAATTTATTTACATACCTGACAATCAAGACGTATTGGCAAAGTAAGCACTTCACGATGTGAACAACTTTATGTTTTGACAAGATTTTTAAATATTGCGAAATTTATGAACCAATACTTGTCAAAACATAGAGTTAATTTAGATTTTAAGTTCGAACTTTGAAAGTTACTAGCATTTTTTTACGAGTCCATTAAAACATACTTAAACACCTTTAAACGGATAAGGTAAACAGATTAACAGATTGAGCAAAGAACAGTTTTCAGGTACAGAAAGGACTGGAAATCCCGGGAGCGAAGGATCGTTAAATCCGGCGGCGTTTTGGAATAACCCGTGAAAATGTTGCGTTTTTGGCTTTATTAAAAAAAACGAAAGTGTATAAAAAATATTTTATTTCAACAAAAATAAATACACTATGTAATAATTTTGGTAAAAAACTTATTTAACAATACTTGAGACCTTAATCCTAGCCTATAATACAAGTGGCACTGGGACTTAACCGGTAACTTTTGGAATAATAAATATCTTACAAACAACTAACGCCACGACGAATTTTCCATGAAATTCAAGAAGCCCCAACTTAATGGTCGCATTTTTTCTGCGTGTGAAGCTGAAAAAAGCCCAACAGCTGCACCGAATCGTTCTCATCATATCATATTATATTATACATTTTTTCCTCGGTGCGCCCAGGCAAAAACACCAAACTGTTTATTATACTAGATCACAAGTGTCACGCCACCCCCCACTAAGCCAAAACGACCAGTTCGACAGAACCCCGAAAAGTACAAAAATAGGTCCTTTGTGAGTTACCTATAAAAAGAAAATTCTTTGCGACGAAGTTAATTACTCGAATTTTTACACATCACTGGGAGTTGCAGTCGCTCCAGTCACCCTCCATCCGCCACCTGGTGAAAGCCTTCAGCAGACGATCTCGAACGACGAAGGACGACACGTTCCCGATGAGATCCACGTCCAGCACGTTCTCATTGGACAGCACGTTGTACAAGAAGTCGATGTACCGCGCGGCGAGTTTCAGCGTCTGGATTTTGGACAGCTTGTCCGACGGCATGGTGGGAATGCTTTTCCTCAGGCTGGCGAAGGCCTCGTTGAGGCTCTGGGTCCGCTGGCGCTCCCGCACGTTGGCCATGACCCTCTGGTGCTGGATGTCTTCGTAGCTCTGCGGCGCTTTCCGTCGCGACTTGTTCTTGGCGCTCTGGAAGGAGTTCTCTTCGTCGGATGAGATGCTTTTCCTTTTTCGCCCGAACGCGCGCGATTTCATCACCGGTACTTCCTCTTCGGGCTCGATCTTGATGAAAGGGGTCACGAAGTCGTACTGTCCTCTGGAATCCGGGTACTGCGGCGACTCGAGTTTGCGTTCCTCCTCGAAGACTTTGTGCTCGTCGTAGAAGAGCATCTCCTGGTGTCTTTGCATCTCCTTGTGGTGGTAGTACCCGTAGGGGACCATTTCTTGGTGCGGCAGTACCGTGGGCAGGAACTTCTCGTTGGAGTTGGTCAGGTCCATCAATTTGGACTGGTGGTAGTGGTGGTATTCTGGCGATGGTAGTTCGCGGTACACCGGTGAAGAACTGTCACTGTCACTACGGTTTTCGAACATCGCGACATCAAAGCCACGCCGACGGATGACGAGTGTTAATGCGGGATTCTTCCGAAAACTTAACATTACTTAAATAAACTTCCGACCAATGGGAAAGGCGGCAGAATCCCTACTCTTGGGTTATCTCTCGTTTCAACTCGGTCGATTTGTCGGCTGTCTCTTGTTCGTTTACATGGGGTCTCATCCCATTTGGACTTTTTGTTGGGTAGTGCTGTCTCGCTCCTGGTCATTGATGGTGGGCTATTTATATATCTCACTTGTTGCCAGCGCACAGGGACGGCGTCAGGCGGCAAGTGAGGCAAGGAGCTAAAAATTGGTCCAGAGAGCTTAAACAGTACTTCCCTCGTCCTCTAAAGAGTGTATTTATATTTTATTTTTTGCGATAATTCGTCTCAATACTGTACTAAAGAGTGTATTTATATTTTATTTTTTGCGATAATTCGTCTCAATACTGTTAAAAACACGGAAACATTAATGTAAAATTATTTTATCATCTACACGATAATCATCAAGAACACTAAAATTTGACAATAATCAGTCCAGTTTTTGGAGAAATCTGTTTAACAAAATCCACAAACGAACACACAGACGCACAGAGAAATGACAGACAGACGTAAACTGGAATCCAAATGACCCTTTGGAATACTTCCTAGAATTAACTTGAGGAAATAAATATAAAATCTATTAAAACCGCAGATTGTTTCTGTTTTACTTTTACTTGATATGAAACGGTTTTCAATCTATAAAAAAAATATCTAAAGTTGATTTTGTGTTGATTTTCTCTTTTAATTCTCGAGCCTAAGCTAAGGAAGTACATATTGTAATCGAATCCATCGTGTGACTGGGTACTTTCATGTTTTTTCGACGTTTCATGACCCCTAGAGTTTCTGTCTATCTGTCTGTCTGCCTGTCGTCTATCGGATTTTTGCTAGACAGATAATTTTCGAAGCTATTGGACCGATTGTTGTCAAATTTTGTATGTATCTTAAGAACATCATGTAAATGGTAAAACACTCACCAAAAGTGTCCAGTGGAATGACGTCATCTCTAAATTTTACAATAGTAAATAAATGTTATTTAAATTTTATAAAATAATTATGAATTAGTTAGTGTTCGAGTTCTTGCCTTAGGCATTCAGATTTTTGAAAAAAAAAAAAAAAATTATGTATCTTCAAATTTTCGATTTCTCTATTTCTTTATTTTTCGATTTTTCAATTTTCCGATGTTTCAGGTTTACGACTTTTCAAATTTTCGATTTTTCAATCTTCCATTTTAACGTTTCGAAATTTTCAATTTTTCGATTTCTCAATTTCTCGATTAATCGATTTTTTAATTTTCCTATTTTTCGATTTTACGACTTTTCAATGATTCGAATTTTCAGTTTTTCAATTTTTCGATGCTTCAATTTTTCTTTTTTTTTCAATTTTTCGATATTCCACTTTTGGTATTTTTCAATGTGTTTCGATACTTCAGTTTCCTGATTCTTCACTTTTTTTCCATTTTTCAATTTCTCGATATTTCCGTTTCGGTATTTTTCAACGATTTTTTAATTTTCTGCAATGCTTCGATTTTAAAATTTTTCGATTTTCCAATTTTTCGACTTTCCAATTTTTCAGTTTTTAAATTTTTCGATTTTTCAATTTTTCGATATTTCAGTTTTGGTATTTTTCAATGTGTTTCGATTCTTCAATTTTTCATCTCTCGATTCTTCAGTTTCTTGCTTCTTTAATTTTCCGATTTTTTAAATTTCGGGTTTTCGATTTTCCCGTTATTCGTAATTTTAATTTTTCAATTTTTTAAATTGTAGAGCTTTCGATTTCTCGATTTTTCAATTTTTTAATTTCTCGATTCTTCAAATTTTCGATTTCTCGATTTTTTTATTTTTCGACTATCCAATGTTTCGATTTTTAAATTTCTCGATTAATCGATTTTTTGATTTTTTCATTTCTCGATTTCTCTACTTTTCAATGTTTCGATTTTCCAGTTTCCCAAATTTTCGAGTTTTCAGGTTTTTGAATTTTCGATTTTCAATTTTTCGATTACTGAAGAATTCCTCGATTCTTCAAATTTTCGTTTTCTCGATTTCTTTAATTTTCGATTTTTCAATTTTCCGATGTTTCAAGTTTACGACTTTTCAAGTTTTCGATTTTTCAATCTTCCATTTTAACGTTTCGAAATTTTCAATTTTTCGATTTCTCGATTTCTCGATTAATCGATTTTTTAATTTTCCCATTTTTCGATTTTACGACTTTTCAATGATTCGCATTTTCAGTTTTTCAATTTTTCCATTTTTCAGGTTTTCGGATATTACAATTTTTCGATGCTTCAATTTTTCTTCCATTTTTCAATTTTTCGATACTTCACTTTTGGTATTTTCAATGCGTTTTATACTTCATTTTTTTGTTTCTTCAGTTTTTCTTCCACTTTTCAATTTCTCGATATTTCAGTTTTGGTATTTTTCAATGTGTTTTGATTTTTCAACTTTTCATCTCTCGATTCTTCAGTTTTTTGCTTCTTTAATTTTCCGATTTTTTAAATTTCGGGTTTTCGATTTTCCCGTGTTTCGAAATTTTAATTTTTCAATTTTTTAAATTATAGTTTTCGATTTCTCGATTTTTTCATTTTTCGATTTTTCAATTTTCCGATGTTTCAAGTTTACGATTTTTCAATTTTTCGACTATCCCATGTTTCGATTTTTAAATTTTTCATTTTTCCGATTTTTGACGTATCAGATTTTCATTGTCTCGATTTTTAAATTTCTCGATTAATCGATTTTTTGATTTTTTCATTTCTCGATTTCTCCACTTTTCAATGTTTCGATTTTCCAGTTTCTCAAATTTTCGAGTTTTCAGGTTTTTGAATTTTCGATTTTCAATTTTTCGATTACTGAAGAATTCCACGATTACGATTTTTCAATTTTTCGACTCAATTTTCCGATTTTTAAATTTTTCGTTTTCACGTTTACAAGTTTTCAACTGTTCGACTTCTCAATTTCTCGATTTTTTGAGTTTCCGATTTCTCAATTCCACGACTTTTCAAGTTTTCGATATTTCAGTTTTGGTATTCTTCAATTTTTCATTCCTCGATTCGTAGTTTTTCGATTCTTCAATTTTCCAATTCTTCAATATTCCGATTTTTCAATTTTGGCAATTTTTTAAATTTCGGGTTTTTGATTTTCCCATTTTTCGATATTTTGATTTTTAATTTTTTTTATTACAGATTTTTCGATTTCTTTATTTTTCAATTTTTCAATTTTTGGCGTTTCAAATTTCCAATGTCTCGATTTCTCGACTTTTCGATGTTTGGATTTTTCAGTTTTTCAAATTTTCGAATTTTCAGGTTTTGAATTTTCAAGTTTTTTAATTTTTCGACTGCGATTTTTCTACTTTTCGATTTCCGATTTTTCAGTTTTTCGATTTCGCAATTTTTCTTGCATTTTTCAATTTTTCGATTTCTCGGTTTTTTGCATTTTCGATTTTTCAATTTTTTTATTTTTCATTTCTTCGATAATTCAATTTTTTGATTTTTTAAATTTTAGATTGTTCAGTTTTTCGATTTTTAGATATTTTGGCTTCTTCATTTTCCAATTTTGAATGTTTTAATTTTTCAATGTTTCGATTCTTCAGTTTTCAGATGTTTCTATTTTTTGCGATTGTAATAATTTTGGATTTTTGATTTCTCGATTTTGATTTTTTGATTTTCGCATTTTCTGATATTTTTGTTTTTCAATTCTTAAAATTTTTGAATTTTCGATTTCTCAATTTTTCGATTTTTCAGTTCGTTGATATTTCTAATTCACAATTTTTCGAATTTTCGATTACTTCTCTCATTTATCCGACTTTTACTCTTAGGTCTTCAGATGTTTCGATTTTTCAAGTTTTCGATTTCTTAATTTTTCAACATTTCATTTTAGGAACTTTTCAGTTACCGGATTTTTCAATTTTTTGATATTTTAATTTTTCGATTTGTTGGATCTCAGTTCAGAGGCGAGGAAAGTTCTGTGGATGAGATAGCTCATTTTTATTTTAATCAACAAAATAAATTGATTAATTATTTTTTTGAACCATTATAATAATCATTATAAAAAAAATATCAATGCACTGATGAACAAACAGCAAGTATAGATTCAGAATAATGTGCAAAATAATTTTTGACAAGATTTTTTCAGCAAATTTTAATATGACGTCATCAAGTTTTTGGAGGGGAAAAACAGATTAATTTTCATTGGCGATCGATTTGTCGTGCTTACGATAACCTTAAACCGTTTGCATGATTTCAGAACATTCAATTTTGTAATTTATAATTAAAACTGTAAAATGTTCATACACTTTTGATTATTTTTTTACAAAAATTTGGGTACGTGGGCTAAAAATAAAGGCAGATTCATAAACCGTAGGTTTAGAAGTGTTTTATTTTATCAAATCTAAATGGGAATTACTTAGCAAAATTTTGATATGACGCCATCGCGTTGTTGGTGAGGATAATAAGCACATTTTGGTCAGCGTTTCACAATCTGTTCGATATTCCTAAAATAGCCCTAAAATTTCACGACAACCAATTCAATAGTTTAGACGACATATAGAGGGAAACAAGGCACATTTTTTAATAAATATTTATTTAGTATTTTTTTTGAAATGGTGTCAAATTTCGCAGAGGATAAATCGAGAAATTTTAGTCGGTAATCACTAGATCCAGCCGTGGCCGTTATTTGTTTTATTTATTTTTTACGATAGCCGTATGAGTAAGGTTAAAAACATGAAGACGCTAATATAAATTCCAAGTAAGATTTACTTAGCAAAATTTTCGAGTGACGTCATCAATCTTTTGGAGAGGATCATCAATCATACAGTATACCTAAAATTTCACCTAATCCGTTTTGAAAGTGCCGGCCTAATAAAATGCCAAGGACAGACAGGGAGACGGATGGCAGACAAACGGAAACGGAAATCCAAATGACCCTATTATAATGCTTCCTCAGTAAACTTGAGGAGGTAAAAACGTATTTCTTCATTTTTACAACATAAAATTTAGTTTTAGC